GCTGCATCTAAAGAAGAATTGTTCTGAAATTTTAAGCTGAAAACAGTCCATGGAGGAACTTCTTGGGAAACCGGTGAACTTTAACCTCCCCAGGATAAGAACACTAACATAAATGTGAATGGGAAAGCTTTCAATGCACTGATAGACGTGAGAAATGCTTTGTCTTTAGAGAAGGGCTGCACAGCCCTTCTTGTGTCTGAGCCCTGGGTGAGCAAGGGAGACTTAAGCGACAGTGACTTTGTTCTGCTAAGTGGCAGCTAAAGGTTTCACTAGGTCACTGCTCAATTCAGCAGCCCTGGGGGGGGGATTCAAAACCAAAGGGGGATAGAAGGCATCTGGAGAAATGGATCCTCCCTGCTCTGCAGGGTCCTGTGCCAGCTTTTGGAACCACAGCACTTACCAGCACAAACTCTAAACTTAACTTGAGTTTGCTCAGTGTGTGCAGTGGATCCTCAGTGCACCATTCCTCAGTGCTGAGTGTTACTGGAGTGAGAAACAAAGCTATCAAGCCAAGTGGTGGTTTTAAGCTTTTAAAATGGATATTGTACAAGTGCAAAAACACTTCCATAGAGTACCAGACTACTAGCACCAAGCATGCTCCCCCAGGGCAGGGCATTCTCCAGCCCCTGGAAGAACAAGGAGTGCCTAGTTCTTCTACAGTATGTACTGGGAAGTAACGTCCTGCCTGTTGCCTGTGAGGTGCTTGGGAGAGGATGCCACAGGACTAGTCAGTGCTGTCTTTGCCACAGAAGACTTCCCCTTCTCTTACTCTCAGCTGAGAATGTATGAACACTACCCCGGAACACCTGATGTGCTGACAGACTCATTCCATGGTAAGCAAGACCAGATCTTGCTGCTTCCTTTTTCCAGGAGGGAGAAAAACTTCAGAACTCCATTCAGAAGCAGTTTTTGAGACCAGACTGCTTCTGCATACAAGGCACCCTAAATACTGCCAAGCCCCCCAGCTGTCAAAGGCTTGCTTCAGCATTTTATTTGCATGAGGTAGAGGTTTCAACTCAAAACCTTTGACACATTGCTTTAGCATTCAGGGTCAAGAGATGCAGGTGAGAGAAAACGTGTGATCCAACACACAGCCCTAAGAAGTTGAAACTTGGCTGAAGTGTTTCTCTGCAGAATCACTGAGCCTCAGGTCCCCAGATGTCAGCTCTGATAGTCTCTCATTTCTGCAATTCAAGTTCATGTCCAAGTTTAGTCTACAAAACCTGGTAAGGAGTAAACTGTACTCGGTGTTCATCTGCAGCATAAATACCCCCCACAAAACACAGCTGAACTACTATCCTGGAGTCCAGACAAAGAGGGAAGCAACAGCTGTTGCCAGGCACAGATCCAGCAGGGATTACTGCGGTCACAGCAAGGACTAAACCAAAGGTACATGCCTGGACTAAGTATATATCATGAGCACAAAACCTGCATTGTGAAAGCAACTGCCACAGTGAGAAAGCAAAGAAACAGGTGGGCAAACTCTACCTCTGATCATAGAATCATAGAAGTAACAGGTAACCTGCAATTTAGCCTTATTTCTGAGCACTAAGCCTCGTGGTACACAGAAGGAAACACAACTTGTTGCAGGACTACCTTATGGGGTTTCTGCAGATATTCCTTTCAGGGGAAGGTAGAAGAGAAGGGTAAAATTTTTAAACTACTGCTGTGTAGGGCACAGGCGAACTCTGACACTGCTCCATCAAAATCTGATCACACCTGACTTCCAACTAATCACCAGCAACATAATTCTGGTACCTGCCACTGATTTCACTCTCCTCTAATCAGTCCCAAAGCTGAGACAGACAAACAGCAAACCCAGTCACCACAACAGACACGAGACATCAGTGCTGAAGCAGTCCAGGAACATGAGAATGCTATGTAAGATAGAGGGAAGCAGGGTAAGAGTGCCAGCACCTTATCATCCCACAGCCAGGCATGGCCTAGAGCAACCAATACTGCTGCCACTTTCCAGGCTGGCAGAGTGCTTTGTGCTAGCACCAGTTCAGCTGGAGCAGAGATACCAGTCTGCTCTTTTGTCTGTTAAGAGACATCCCAAGCACACATCATGTGTTAAAAGATGCTGCCCTCAAAAGAGCTTTCCAGCTACTCAATACAGCTCCAGAGGGAACAGATCAGCTGTGAGAGGGTGCAGAGATCAGCAAGGAGATTAACAAGATGGGTTTTGAAAGAGGATGTGGAAGTAGAAGTAAGCTTATTATGTACAGAAAGGGCAGTGGCTCCAGTCAGTGTGGGTGGCAAGGAAGGGCAGAAATAGAAAGGGGCAATGAAGAGGCTCAGGGGACAGTGTGCTAAGCACTGCTGTCACCCAGGACTGTGCTTATGCTACAGGATGCAGTGCATGGGAAAACCAGAGACCCACTGCACGTGGAGACTTCTATTGCATTTCAGTGGGATTTATCTCAGGCCCAAGATTAAGTCAGTTACAAGATGCACTAACTCCATCTGGCAAAGGCTATCACTAACACTATTATCACAAGTACTTATCTCAAATCTATCTGAACCTCCAAGCACTGATCTCATGAGCTGTTCTCACTATCAAGGCAGAATTCTATTTTTTTACTAACTATGGAAAATTGAGCTTGTTAGACCATTCCTCCTGTCCCCATTCAGCAAGGCAAACACACCTGATCCTGCCTTACAAGAATACAGTCTGAATGAGATGCTCCAGTTCTCCTGAGCCTCGCACTAGGCTGCTGAAAGGCAATAAAGCACAGAACTTGTACTACAAGGTACTTCAGTCATTTCAAGAGCAGCAAGAAGAAACAAAGCTTAAGGCAGTTACAATCCCATGTACTAAAAAACCTCTGCTGCAGGCAAACTGCACGTTAGTGTGCCCCACAGAGCACACTCCTGTTCAATCACACTTGGAATAATCTGCTGTGCAGTCTGCACTGAGCCCTCAGCCTCTCCAGCTACAAGGCAGCCAAGAGGAAACCCACAAAAGAAAATAGCACACACAGGAGTCAAGGAAAAAAGCTGGAATGAAATTAAGTCAGCCTGTACCCCCTAAAATACACTGGCAGATGTGAGTGTATGAGGAAGGCCAAATTACAGTGATGCCAACAGTCCTGCCCAATGCAATCCAAAGCTTACGCATTTTACTCAGTAAGGGAAAAATCAGTATTTCCTGATCAATCAACCTTCTTTTATTTCTTGCAATTTAAACATTTTTTTCTTTCAACAGTCACAGAAAAGATATTCTTCAGATACATGAAAGATTTCCACAAAGAGGAAGGGAAGAAATTTAATATTCCCTTTGATAGAATGGTGACCTTGAAAATAGTTAATACATGTGGATTCTGTGCCTGAAGGAAGAAAAGGTATGTTAATAGGTAATGCTAAACTTGAAGTAGAAATGAAGAATTCATGTTTAAAGTGTTAATGAGAATGGTGTTCAAACTTAAGTTTCAAGAGTGTAAACTAGCTAGGAAGGCCAGGGAAAGGGGCAGTGAGAAAGGGAAAGGATCAAAGTGAGCCCAGAGCTACTGAGCAACTCAAATTAACACCTGGCTTGGATAGAGTCTCCACAGACCAGCTGGTACTGGAAGCCTTGGACCTACACCACTTGTTCCCACTTCAGTGAGTCATACAAAGTGTGGTGTATCAGACTCTTGCAAGTTTGGCTCTTTTGGGTGATGGGGTGGAGCTTGGTTTTGTTTTAAACAGACCCAAACAACACACCAT